TCACGATGTTTCGGTAAAACCGGTTAACTTCAATTGACTGATTAGAATTAACCTGGTTAACTCGCCATTCAGTGTTATTTCTTTTATTTTGTTTTCAAAATACACAGAATTTTCGTTTTTTCGTTTTTGTGTTATGAACTTGTTTATTGCCACAACACAGCGGGCAGCGCAGTGAATGAAGCAAGACTTGTTTCAACCGGCATCTCCCTGGAAGGTGTATAGGGCTGTTAATTTAACTTTGACAATGTTATTGGGAAAACCTTTATCGATCAAATTAAATTCAAATATCTCTGTTATGTTATTTCCAGATGCTAGAAGCTGCGCCGACATTTCGTTTCCTACTGAGTATAACTTCAAACCATACGTTGACGAGGAAGTTAAAAGGCAGCATTTTTCTGGAACTGAACACTTAAAGAAGGGAACTACTGTGACTGCTTCTTCACCAAACCGCTCTCAGAACAAACAGGAGAATGCAACATCTCTAAGGACTGGAAATCTACATTGTTCTCAAACAGAAAAGGTGACAATTAATGAGAAATCTCGTTGGGAAGACCAGTTGCCTCTAGAAAATTTCAGTTATGCCATGGAAGGTTCTCTTGCAACAGGATACCCTAAGTCAACTCACCAACAGAACGAGACGTGTGCCGTATTTAAAGGATATGCATGCACTGATGATATAGAAGAAGAAGAACGTAAACAGGTCTTGGATAGGCCCACGTCTACTCTGCTAACTCCGACAAAATCTTTCTCTAGGAAAAATTTCAGAAAAAAAGAGAAAAGTGTAATGAGAAAGATTCTTTGCCAGCAAGAACTAATATTACTTGTCATGGTATTTAGTTCGAAAGACCTTCGGTGAGATTCGTAAACAACAAAAGCTCATGTTCCAAGCGCAAAAGCGATGTCTTTGAAGACACTTATGTAGAAGACGGAAGCCGCCAAAAGTCTCACGAACTTTCTTCATTTGGGGTCAAGAACTTTAGAAGCACAAACTTACTAAAGCATCACAACAGATTTAATATTCCTGGAAAACTAGGATTTGATGTGGGCAATTCTTCCTCAGGTGGAGAGAATATGCTGCCGCAAGAACTCGTGTCTATCATAGAAAAACAAAATCTACTAAATTAGAGATTGGGTATACTAAACGTGACGGTCTCGCTGCAGTCCAAACGGAGGTACTTGTAAATGAATCTCCGTGTTGGGCGGCAAAAGCAACTGTAACAGATTAAATCTTCGAGAGAATTTGAGAGTGGGGAAGGTTCGCGACGTATATACGCATTTTGCGGGTGCTTTTTTCTAAATGCACGTGCGTTTATTTGGAGGAGATTTCCAGTTGATGTCCACACTCCTTAATTTGGTAGTTGATCTACTTTTTCATGTATCAATCAATGATTGAAAATATTGAAACGTATTGTTTCTTTCGATCGCCATATAACTGAATTTTGAAATAACTTTTTTTAATGCGTTTTCTCTTTTCTTGTTTGTTTTTTAATCGTTTTGTTTTGTATTTTATCATCGGAGGTGATGTTACTTGGTGAGGATGGACAAAGCAATTTCTGATATGTTTTGCTTTGTGTTTTGATACCTGTGAGAGTATAAAAATACAGGAAAACAATTTTTAAAGTAGATTTAAAGTGACTTTATGGATTTTGTGGTGAAGTTCTTCATTACGTCATGTGCTATTGAGCTCCTAATTCAGATGTATGTGAAATATTCGTCTAACTATGCGCAGATTAATCGTTACGGCATTAATTACTTTCAGAACCTTACGGCGGCGTGTTAAAGGATTCGCTCTCCATTGAAGAAAGGGGCAAAGGTTAATGGAATTGGGATGAAGACCAGCAAATATATTTTACTTTTGTCAAAAGACAGCGGTCGTTCATTCCTTTCTTATGCTCCATCGCAAGAACTACATTTCTGTTCTATATAACAGTTGCTGCAACTTTTTCGTTGTCTTCCAAACTGAGAACACCAATCAGAAAATTAGACGACAGGGTTTCTAGTATCAAATAATCTTATTCCGAAATAAAACAACGAAACACATCAAAAACGACTGACATAATGCTAATTATGTCAAAATACTGAGGAACATGTACCCGACTTGACATTAGTTATAATACATTACGATAATGTCGCTCCTTACGAAGGTCTACTAAAAACAGATTGCAGGAAAGATCATTGACTCGTGGTTTTGGTTTTCAGCGATAAAACAAATGTTTCACAATTTTCTGTTTTTTCTCAGGTTCAGTATTTTATAGCCCATGTCCTCCTAAGTTGAGTGGCTCTTTCTCATTTTCATCCTTAAAAAAAACACTCTAAAATGGGTCGTAACTTTTCCCAGCTTCTCACATATTTCTCCACTTTATAACAAGTGATCACGCTCTGATTCAATTGAAGCGTGAATTAGGCACAGGACTTGATACACAATGTCATGAACCCTTAAATGGGCTTCATCTGGTAAAGTATGTGTACCTAAAGGCTGTTCGTGACCGTGGGGGGTGGTGTGCAACATGACCCTTAGTTAGGGGTCTCCAGGAAAAAATGCTTCATTCACTGATGAACATACCTGAATACCATTGTCGGGCTTTTGTAAAGGGGGAGGGGGGGGGGAGTGTTCTGCTCCATTGTGTATGTGGTGAGGGAATTTGATGGGAGAAGGATCTCGTGGCCTTAACGCAAACGCTTTAGTAGAGCTTACATGGATGGGCTTTGAAGCAGGTTCTGAACTTAAATTGGTTACTGATGGGGTTGTAACTGTCACCACTTTTGTTGTTTTTGTTGATACCGATGCAGGCGTGGGCGAGGAAACGTTTGCACCTTTAGTATAGCTGGTAAAACAGACAACGTTAAAGGCAAAGCCTGAATGAAAAACTGAAAGAACAAGAGAGGTCTTGTTGCTTCGTTCAAAGAGACCACCTATGCGCATCTTCGGAATTTAAATAACTCGTATGAGATCCTAGGCTGATACTAATTAGTGAAATTACAAACAAAAACTTCCACAAGACAGAAAACAGTTCAACTCTTAACAATATAAAGAACAAAGCTTTCACACTCACGACAAATTAGTTAATAATAACCCCCTAGGAGCCTGTGATGACCTTGTCTTTGTTAGCTTCTGTTACTGTCCCCACGCTAGACTGAGCAAACTTTGGGAAGCGCTTCTATTGTTGCTACGTGACGTCATACTGACAGTGGTGTCCCGACGGCGGCGCATACAAGAGAATAACGGAGTCACCCCTCCCTCCTGGTTCAAAAGATATCTAAAAGGCATACCTCAAAACGACAGTAGACGACTGCGAGTAGCTAATGTTTTACCACGAAAATTAGTATTGTCTGTCACGCTGATGGTAAGAAGTTTGTAGGGAAGTTTCTAACTTTTTTTCCTTCAACTTGAGCCATTGAGGAACTGATAGAATGGTATTCCTGGCGCATATCTTCCCTGACCCTTTAAATCCCAGATCAAATTTGTAATTCTCCTTACAGTCAACCGTACGATTCTTGTAATGTTAGTTCAGAGAATTTAGTATTGGATCAACTAATTATCATCAATCAAACATATTGGGAAATGAAAATTTTCAACCTCCCTTCAAATTTTACATACAGTTAGGTATTCAGGGGGAATGCACAAAAATGCCCTTTTTAAAAGTCGCAGCACTCTCGTTGCCATGGTAACAACGGCTACTTGTTCGAGGCCTGGAGCCTCGTTTTCATACAAAAACGTCGCCAAAAAAATGTTTATTTTTCTATCTCAAGCTAAATACAACATTACAAATTGGTGCTTCTACCATACATAGTGACATCATTCGTCTTCACTTTGATTCAATCAATTTTCCCTGGGAAAGTGAATGTGAACACACCAATAGATTATTCATCTTCGGTACAGTTTCGGTCACTTTTGTTTTCGGGTAAAACAGGGAAAACGTTTATCTGAATTTCTCCAAACGTGCATCACTTTTGGAAATGAAACTACCCACCTACTAGGTTGTTTTTATTTCAGAAAGCGGAAATCTGCTGACATGTATGAAAAATATCCATTTCTCGTCTTCTTTGGAGCGACCGATGGAATCCTCATGGAGAAATACGTCACGCCATCGTGATAACGTACATGTTTATGACAAATTACCGGTGTGAGGATAGTTTCGTGTAGATCAGCCGACTTCAACATGTTTTAAATGACATACAGGTGTATCAGTGTATCTTCGAGTCCGAGTCCGAGTATTTTTCGGGAGAGTATTTTTTTGTTCTGTGTTCGTTCCTTTCTTTTTTTGCCTTCCGTAATTGTTTAGTTTTATTTCGCTTCAATTTTTTCCTTTTTGAAATCGAGCTTGAGTTCGAAACCCCACTATAAATAACCACTTATGTGTATGAATTTATTGAAATTAAACTTTCTCATACAGTTAAATTTTCTCTCGACTATGAATGCTAAGGAAGTGTACCACACTACCTAGTAAGGTGTACCATGCTGAGCAAAACTATGCAAAACTAATTGACCGAAAAATATCAGGCCTTTCTCCGTGATCTCGAGCGACATTTTAATAAAAAACCATTCTGATCCCTATGATCTTTCTCTTTTCTGACAGGTATAGAACAAAGACATAGCAGTCCTTAAACACTGAAACAGGTTTGTCTTCCTAAAAGTGTTACCAGGGATCTTGTACATGAATGGCGGTTTTTATATTCTAATGTTTTTCTTTTATGTTTTAAAATTATCGAAGGCAAGATATCCAGTGGGCAGACTCACTCATACCATGCATACACATCAACACAAGTTTTACCGCTGTTTTCTCCCTCAAAGTAGTCCTTCCAATCCTGTCCGTACCATAACTGCATCTCTTGGTAGCTCGAGACAGACAATGGATTGTCGAGGTTGCGAAAAACCAGCTAAGTTGAATTATGGTGATATCCAGGAAGGCTGTAATGGTCTTTTGTGTTATCAGGATGAGCTTTCAAGTCTTCGGTAGGGGGCAGAATGGCCTTCTTATTTGCATCTGTTATGATTGTCATCAAATCTTCTCCATATCCTGAGTAGGTGCAGCCCCAGTAGGATGAAATATAATTGCCGCAGCGCACCGGTGAATAAGCTTCATTGTTTTCACTCGTCCACTCTTTGTCATGTTGAAGGAACCATATTGGTTATCTTTGGCTCCAAAGCAGACGGGTTCTTCGCCATTTATCTTTTGCCAGCTCTCTAAGATAAAGTTATAGGATAGGTAGATAGTTTTTAAAGTTAATTAAACTGTATTAAAAAAAATAGCTACTTTCGGCCAACACATTTTCGAATGGTACTAGGGTGACAGCCGTTTGTAAGATAAATTCCAGTGATAAAAAAGGTAAACCATTGTCCTTTTCGGCGTCGTGACCTGGATATATAGTTATTGTAATCTATTCCCATTCGCCATTAAAACAATTTTGTATAAGAGAAAGAACAATTCATGTCATTGACTAATCTTCTTCTCCGCGTTTATATCTCTATTGGAATTAATTAAAACAAACCTTTTTTTACTGTAATTCACTTATCTGCAGAAACACTGAGACAAGATATTATTTTGGTAAGTTTAAAAAAAAAAAGTCGGAATAGGATAACACTTTAAGGAGGCAGTGGGATGATGATCTTTAACTAAAGACTCCACACAAACACTCGTTCATGCATTCATCACCGCACGTAATGATTATTGCAATGGTTTGCTGTATGGTCTACCAACCGCACATCTCAACAAGTTACCACGTATTCAGAACAGTGCTGCCCGATTTTTTTGTTCCCTTTCTCGTTCTTGTCATATAACTCCTACTTTGTTTTCCTTGCATTGGTTACCTGTCTGTTTCAGAACTGAATTTAAATCACTTATTTTAGCGTTCAAGGCTATCCACGGGCTGAAACCTCAGTACATTACGGATCTAATTAACGTTAAGCAACAATTCGGACGTATGATGTTACGATCTCAGTCTGAACCACAATTATTTCCACCCAGGATCATAACTAAGAAAACTTTAGGTGATAGATCATTTATGGCATCTGCTCCTAAACTTTGGAATAGATTGCCATCAAATATAAGAGCAGTAAATGCTCCTAATTGTTTTAAAACACTTCTAAAAACACATCTCTTTAGACAGGCATTTTCATGTTTGCTTTTATAGTTCGTTTTAGTATTTTTTAGTCAGTCATATTGTATATTCCTGACCTTTTATGTTTCGTTTTCATACCTTTTTTTTTAGTTAGTCATATTGTATATTCTTAGCCTTTTATAGTTCGTTTTCATACTTTATTTTGCATAGTTTTATTGTATAGCACGTTAGATTATATTCACATGTATTCTGCGCTATATGAGTAATAAATTATTATTATTATTATTATTAATGAGTCCACTAATTTAGTCAAACAATTTACCTTTACAATAGGCCTCGATGACCTCGCTACTTTCTTCAGAGTAAATCCAGTATTTCCCGTCAGCTATCTGGTTCCCTTCACTTGCTTCAATCTCACCACAGGTTTTCGCCGGAAGCTCTTTGATGGATCCGAGGGGAACTACGACAGAAAAAACGAATTTCATGTAAGAAGTTTACACCATCTTGCAGTTCGATACCTCCTAATGCGACAGGAGAGGAAAAAAAACCTCCTACCTTTCCTGCCTGCGTAAAAGCAGAAAGAAATAAAAACTGTGCTAATTCTATTAGATCTAGACTAAGAAATGAGATGGAAGACAGCATAGGGTTATTATAGTTACAATAGCGCAGTGAAACAAGCCAACATTTCGGTATCATCGCTAAACCATTTTCAAGGTGACTGAAGAAAACAGTTGCTTGGCTTCATAGTTAAGTCAAATATTATCTTCCCAAGATGACGTTGATGAGACGATGATTCCAAAACGTCGTCACTTTTATTTTGACTTGTCTCTGTATTTTGAAATGCTTTACCAATATTGAAACAATCCCCGAAATTGAATCATCAAAAGGCTCGCCATAGGAAATATATAAAATATAAAAATTTGTTTCTCTGAGTTTTCTGTAATCGTGAATGAAAAAATTTAAAAAAACAAGTTTGCCCAGAGACGAAAATGCAAAAAGTTAGTCGAGGAAACGTAAAAGGTACCTCTGTTGCTAGAACGCTTCATGTAAAATCTTCTCTCATCCGGCATAAAATCTTCCGGTCTTGCTTCCTTTGTACGATTGTTCAGTTCACAGATGTTTTGACCAATGATGATATTGTAACTCTGACACGTGACTTCTTCTTCACACCGGAAATAACATTCTCTAGGCAACAGATCGCAATACTTTTTAAACACGTGACCTTTCAGGTACATTCCGTTGATGGAGCTTTCAGTTACATGACATCGGCTGTTAGCGTTGAGTACACCAATCCGGGACATCAGAAACATGGTTGTCAGCCAGAACTTTGAATTCATTCTGAGGTGAATGTAGGTGCCGATTGCTGCACACAGATTAAGTACCTATCAACAAAGTTAAAAATGCTGAGATTAAGTTATGTAAGGATTTTCAGCCAAATTAATACCTAAATTTACATCTAAGAAGGATAAGTCAATCCAAAAAGGTTTTGTTTTAGTTTCCTTCGGCCTCCACCAGTTGAACGTATTAATATTAAACACATGAACGTGTTCTGGCAATCAAGTTACGAAAAACTAATCATCAACAGCAGTAAGAAGTGACATTGCACTTTATATGTGTTATTGAAATAAGCGTGTAAAGAAAGAGTAAAGAAAGAGTAAAGAAAGAGTAAAGAAAGAGTAAAGAAAGAGTAAAGAAAGAGTAAAGAAAGAGTAAAGAAAGAGTAAAGAAAGAGTAAAGAAAGAGTAAAGAAAGAGTAAAGAAAGAGTAAAGAAAGTTAGATTTTGGCCGAGTTCTTCTTCTGCCTTTTTGTGAACCGAGACACAGTCTAGGTCCCATAAAATCAGCCGGCAAAAGTTATTTTCATTAAAAAAATATGATTATCGTTTCCGGTTATTGCATTGAGTCACCTTGAAAGGCGAAAACAAAAATTATCTACCGTATTTGTTTATTTTTTTCGATGATTTTCCCATTTGTAATTGTCAGCGTTTGCTCGTTGTTGTAATTTAAAACAGCCGAAAGAGTTTTGATGTTAGATATTGGTTTTCTTTACTTTTGTACTGACAACACTGTTCATTCCGAGGTTTCCAATTTTCGTAAATTGAAATTTCTGGAGTCTCCAAATAAAAATCCGTGGAAAATACAAAGTTTTATATGCCATAACGAGGTTTTGCTATGCAAAGCTTACCCAAAGACATGAACAAGTGAAACTTTGAAGATGATCTTATAAATGGAGTAGAAATATCGAATTTTGGCCTCAATTTACCTCAGCAGGAGTATGTCTCCTAATGTTGAGTGGGTTGTGCTTAATGTCGACAGGTGCTGCTCCTAAATACCAATGATAGTCAAGTTATGAATTCTTCATCACACGGAGCGTTGGATGTTTTTTCTTTGATTTTCAGAAGTAACTTTGAATTTCTTTATAGCAAAAGTGTTATGTATCAAAAACACTGAAATGAAAATACAACTTTTATCTTCCATCTTGAAATTAAATAGGTCTGCCATTCCCCATTCTCTATTCCATATTCCCTATTCTCCATTACCGCTTTTTTTAGTAAAATCCATTTACTCGTGCTTATTAACACCAAATTGCGTTCAAAACCTTGTTGTTACCTATACAAATCGAACACTAATAGCCGGCTGAACAGTTTGCTCGAACGGTTTTACGCCGAAACAAACATGAAGTGGAATATGGCCTAGAAGGGCTTAAAATTATGATTATCGCTAAATCGCCTTGAAGAACATACAAGGACTGCAGGCGTTCCATTGTGCCGGACAAAGATTTACTTCGTACCGTCCAAGCAGGTGTTGGATAGAAGAGCGGAATAGTTTCGCCAGGCTGGTCGTGAAAATAAACTTAACAAAGCTCGAAAAATATTAGAATATAGAGTCAGTGAATAAATGACTCTTGCTTCTCTCTTCTATCAATTAGCTCTTGTTCGAATAACGAATTGGTCTAGAAATATTTCTTAATCATTTTCCCTTGCATTTTATTTGTGGCACCGACTTTTCGAACAACAAAATGATATCTGGTAAAACCGACATCTAGGATAAAACGCTATTTTCGTGCACAAGTTGTGTCAGCTAAGTCATAGAGCACTAAAGCAGATAACATTGTTCTCAGCTGCGCCTCGAGCGACTATCGCGCTTTTCTCGTCCTCTCCAAACTTCCCTGCGTGATCATGAATCCATACCTCGATGTATGCACACTAGACATGAACTGAAATTCTATATTGGCCAATCTTTCTTCTTTTTTTTTCGTTATTAGAAACAGTTGCCCCCTTTAGTAACCGTCAGAACTTATTTTGTCGTCACAATTTTTAGGAACGAACCAGACCAACTTTCTAATACTTCCGCACCAAAACCCAAACAAAGAAAGGAAAGAAACTTGTTACATGGTCTTATAAATACAAAAGAGATTACTTACCCTACCTCAACTAAGCTTAATTTACCTCTGCTGAAATATGTCTTTAAATTTAGAGTGGGTTGTGCTAAACATCAATGATAGCCGAGTTCTGAGTACTTTTTCACGCAAAGCAACTTCCTGCGTGTCTTTCGATTTGTTTCTTGTTTGTTATGATAAGTAGCCCCAATAACTTTTATCTCAGAGCAATATGTGTTCATCGTTTTTGTGTTTATTAATGAAGTTTGGCACTAATCTTAATTAATACAATAGCAGGATATCTTGATTATTCTCGCACGTTTTTACAAACTTGTGCCTGATAAACCAGTCCCCCTAAAAGCGGTCTTATTCATTTCGTTTAGAAAACTCGGTTTCGTTTTTAACACTTTTTATTTAATGAGGAACTATTTAGCGGCACTGAGCGAACCGAAAAAGCGAAAACTTTTTTAGAATCTCCTACGGGTTTCGTATGACAATAGCAGACCTCAGGGAGTTTTTACAAGTTGGTTAATTAAAAACCTTGCTTATTTACAAATATGAAATATGATATCTTTTTTCGACCTTTACGCGTATAGTTTGAAGCTAGCTGAAAGTATTTGCAAGCTTTGACTAAGGTGTTGTACGTGAGAGACATTTTTCGGAACTATTATTTTTCTTGACAATAATAGTCGAGTTATGAATTCTTCATGCTTCATAAAACTTGCCGTTATTTTGAAAAAAATTAGTAAAAAAAATAATAACATTTCTTAGATGAATTTCTTTTACCCTCTTTGTTTGTTTTTTTATCACTATCTTATGGTGTCTTTACTATTTCTAAATTGTCTCACTCTGATCATTAACGTTCTATTGACATATCGTTTTATGGTACACCGTATTGAAAAATTTGTATTTCCCGACACTATCTGCCAAAGAAATATACATGCTTTTGACACGCAAAATTGATTATAAGTTTGAGCTCTTGAGAGTAGGAAACACAAGCTAATACTCGACCATCAAGTGTGCGTATTACACATACAGCAGAAATTTCTCAGGTGATATTCCGGGTGATGAACAAAACACTGACACCTAGTACATGGATTACTCAGTTGGACTGCCTTTGAGTTTTTTTTGTTTTTGCAAGCTACAACAAACACCTCAAAATTCTGGCGATTATTTTAAAATCATCTATAATCCTCCGGTTAATAAATAGCTCGAAGTCATGCCACTTCCCTGAAAATCGATCATGAAGTTAGGCGAAATAGTTACGTATACTCTGTCTGACTGCGGGTCAACGATTCAAGATCAAGTGGAAAAAGATTCATCGGAAGAAAAAAGATGTAGCTAAAAGCGTGGACGAGGCCCGTGCTAAGATTCATTGGCGCAAGCTACTTGTTTAAAACAAATGCTTGTCATCAGGATTTGAGATAACGATATCAGTATTTACTCATGTCCCCTTTTCCAACAAAACAAGACTATCAGTAAAGGGTCTCAATGAGGTGAAGGCTTTTTAAAGCTTTTCTAAGTCGTTAAAGCGACTAAAGGTTAGAATTTTCCGATCTCTACTCCTAACAGCTACATTTTGTCACCTTTTTATGACTAACGGTTAACCCCTGATTGTCCTGATTGAGGCCCTTCAAGTACGCAAACCCATAGGTTTGCATACTATACATACTATACTATATGCGCTGCACCCACTTTATGGAATGCTCTTCCTGCTAATCTCCGCAGCATTAAATACATTTCAACTTTTAAGTCATGTCTTAAAACTTATCTTTTTAAATTAGCTTTTAATATTTCTTAGATATGTAAATATATATATACAAATGATGTGATTTATTTATTATCTCTGGAATTTATTGTGTATGTCTTATACTAGTCTAGTTTAGGTAACTTATCGTTGTAATGCGCTTTTGATCACTCGGCATGTCAAAAAACGCGCTATAAATTAATAAACTGTTACAAATTATTAATTATTATAGGCTGAATCGAGTTTGAGACCAACGAATGTTGTAGAATTTAGCAAAGTCAAGTATCAGGTTTTGGTGCTGCTGTTGGGTCTTTCACTTCTAAGCATAAATCTACGATATGAAAATTGTCTTTCGAAGCCATTTGCTCACAATAGCAAACTCTTTCATTTCAAGCTACTGAATTAAAACACGTGTACTACGCTGGAGAGCCTTGACACTTCCAGTTTAAATACCCCACCCACTAAGGCAAGGTTCACATTCCCTACCCCCGGTCACGGACGACGGTAAATGGCCGTGGGTTGTTCGGGGAGGGGGGGGGGGGAGAGTTTAAAGCTTCCAACTAATCGGTGCATTAACATCGTGAAATTGGGTTGCCTCTAGACAAACCAGTTACACATTTCACAGGTTTAAGTAAGAAATTGACCAAGTACACAGCTTTTATTTCACCTTTTACAGAGTCATTGAATTTAAATGACTCCGCAGCAATCATTTAGTACTGTCTAGGATATCAGTCATCTTAATTCTGGTCTCCTTCAACAGAAAAAAGATTTAAAAAACAAAAGCATAATAGTTGAAAAACGAAGAGTCCTCGACGGGTTATGTACAAATTAAAGACTCTGAAATTCCTTTGCGTTTGTCCACTTTTATACGCTTTGTTTTTTGCCATCAGAACGCCAATTGCAGATAACACAGCAATAACACAGTCACAACTAGAATTATATTTCACCAGAAAAATTCTAGAACATTGACTTAAACTAATTCTCTGCTGTAACACCGGCATGGAGGTTACTTTCTGCGATGAAACCGCAAAACTCCTTTCACTACAAGCGAGAACATTGTGGTAAGACAAAAGATACTTAATTGAAATCAAAGACATTCAAACCATTCATCAAACATTAAAGAAAGCATTTAACAGCAATTTAAAAGCTCGCAAGATCGTCACTGGTGTGAAATCAGTGCTGGTTAAATTCTTTATTGCATCCATTTTGAA